CGGGAGGAACTGGGAGGGACTGGGGGGGACTGGGAGGGACTGGGAGAGGGGTTTGGGGTGGTTTGGGGTCGTGGGGGTACTTTTGGAGTTGTTTTGGAGTAACAATTTGTGATTTTGGGGGCATTTTGGAGTAAATTTAGGATGTGGGGGCATTTTAGGGGTAAGAATTTGGAGTTTCTGTGTAACATTTGAGGATTTTTTGGTAAAACTTTGGATTTTTTGGGTAAAATTTGGGGTTTTTTGGGTTCCCCCAGAGGTGGAGCAGGGCATGGGGGTGCTGAACAGCGGCGTGGTGTGCGCGGAATTTGGGATTTGGGGCGGTTTTGGGGTAACAATTCGGGATTTTGGGCAGGTTTTGTGTAACAATTTGGATTTTTTGATAACATTTGAGGATTTTTTGGTGACATTTTGGGGTTTTTTGGTGACATTTTGGGGTTTTTTGGGTTCCCCCAGAGGTGGAGCAGGGCATGGGGGTGCTGAACAGCGGCGTGGTGTGCGCGGAATTTGGGATTTGGGGCGGTTTTGGGGTAACAATTCGGGATTTTGGGCAGGTTTTGTGTAACAATTTGGATTTTTTGATAACATTTGAGGATTTTTTGGTGACATTTTGGGGTTTTTTGGTGACATTTTGGGGTTTTTTGATCCCCCAGAGGTGGAGCAGGGCATGGGGGTGCTGAACAGCGGCGTGGTGTACGCGCTCTGGGATTACAGCGCCGAGTTCGGGGGTTTGGGGGCGGTTTTGGGGTAACAATTCGGGGTTTTGGGGTAACGATTTGGGGTTTTTTGGTAACATTTTGTTATTTTTGATAACATTTCGGGGTTTTTTGATCCCCCAGAGGTGGAGCAGGGCATGGGGGTGCTGATCAGCGGCGTGGTGTGCGCGCTCTGGGATTACAGCGCCGAGTTCGGGGGTTTGGGGGCGGTTTTGGGGTAACAATTCGGGGTTTTGGGGTAACGATTTGGGGTTTTTTGGTAACATTTTGTTATTTTTGATAAGATTTCGGGGTTTTTTGATCCCCCAGAGGTGGAGCAGGGCATGGGGGTGCTGATCAGCGGCGTGGTGTGCGCGCTCTGGGATTACAGCGCCGAGTTCGGGGGTTTGGGGGCGGTTTTGGGGTAACAATTCGGGGTTTTTGTGTAACATTTTCAATTTTTTGGTAACATTTTGGATTTTTTGGTGACATTTTGGATTTTTTGGGTAAAATTTGGGGTTTTTTGGGTTCCCCCAGAGGTGGAGCAGGGCATGGGGGTGCTGAACAGCGGCGTGGTGTACGCGCTCTGGGATTTCAGCGCCGAGTTCGGGGACGAGCTGTCGTTC